TTTTACTATAAACATTCAAAATCCACTTGCTTTGGGAATTGTGGCTTGGTCCCTAGACTCATTCTCTGGAGGCACAGGGAACGGGTTTAGTTTCCCTCCTTGCCCTCTGCCCCCAGCTGTTTTGTTTCAGATCTTCACTCAGAGTTGTTCAAACAGATACTGATTTGCAGATCCTTTTTCCAAATAGGACAACTTTCTTTGTTCGTGGACATCCTACTTTTAAACTTTTGCCTTTGAACTAAATATGTTGATCGAATCACATTTATCACCTTTTTTATAGGGTTAGAATATTTCTGTGGCCTAACTCATGTTTCAATCCTATTCACTGTTGAACACATGAAGTCATTACAGCACACCCATCCCTTCAAGTTTGTTTGTTTGTTCTTGCTCTCTCTTCAACTGGTAGTACAGCTACATGGTACATTAGAAATGTGTAGCTAGGTATTTGATACTGCGTGTTCTTCCCACTCCTGTTCCCCAGGTATCAGTTCTTTCCAGAGGTAGTAGTTCCTCCTGCTGCTGAATCCATTGTATGGACTTGCCACATTTTGTCTAACTGGCAATGGACATTTAGATTGTTACGCATTTCTTGATTCTCTGAATCTTGTTATTATGTTGTGTAGAAGTCTTATGTTGGTATTTCATTTCTTTTGGGGACCTTGTGTGAACTGCCTTAGTCATATGGTAAATTTTTATTTAATGTTTTGTGTTTTTCAGGTGGCTATGCCATTTTAAAGGACCTGTGCAATGTGTTGAGTATTATAATTTCTCCACGTCCTTTGAATTAGGTTGTTTGTCTTCCTGTTCAGCTTTAAGAGTTTATACATTCTGGAATCACTTCTCAGTCTTCTGGGTAAAATCAAGTGTAGTATTTGTTATCGATTGTATATTCTTGTCACAAGTCTTATCAGATCTATGACTTGAAAATAATTTCTTCTTGGGGCTGGAGAGATGGCTCAGTGGTTAAGAGCACTGACTGCTCTTGCAGAGGACACAGGTTCAATTCCCAGCACCCATATGGCAGCTATGAACCTTCCTTAACTCCAGTTCCAGGGGAATCCAAGGCCCTCTTCTGACCTCCGTGGCATTGCATGACGGGTGCATTCGCATGTAGACAATACACTCATACACATAAAATAAAAATAATAAAATATTCAAAAAGAAAATTTCTGTCACTTTTATTTATTTTTAAAGATTTTATTTTTAGTTATATATATATATGTATGTGTATATGACTGTATATGCCCATGAGTACTGGAGCCCACAGAGGCCAGAGGTGTTGGATCCTCTGGAGCTGGAATTACAGGTGGTTGTTAGTCACCTGACATGGGTGCTAGGAATTGAACTCGGGTCCTTTGGAAGAGCAGTACATGCTCTTAACCACTGAGCCATCTCTCCAGCCTGTGTTTTTTGAAGTTGAAATGGTGAATAATGAAAAGTTTAGTATGTTTCTTTCTTGTGTCTTAATGCTGTTGTTGTTAGACCTGAGGGTTTCTTTGTTTCTGTTTTTGTTTTTTTGCCTAATCACAAAGATTTTTCTCCTATGTTCGTTAAGTTTGATGCAGGCCTATTTAACCTTTGGTCTGCAGTCCACATGTGTCCCAGTATAGCTATGAATGTGACCCAACACATTCATAGATAGCCATATGACAGTACAGTGTCAAAGGTTGGGCATCCTTGTTGGTTTTGGTTCTTACTGTTTAGGTCTGTGCCCATGTTAGTGCATCTGTGTGTGGTATGGTATCTAAATGCATCTTTGATATGTTAAGATTCAGTTGTTCCTGATCACCTGTTCAGAGGTCTGTCCTTCCTGCAGTGGTTCCTTTGCTGAAAATCAGTTGACCATAACATAAGAGCTTATCTCTGCACTCTCAATTTTGTATTGACTGACATATCTGCATCCCTGTTTTTTCAATAGCTTTTGTCTCTTATGGTCCATTGCATTTCCATAGAAGTTTAAGGTCAGCTCATAAATTTCTTCAGAAAGGTTCGCTGAGATTTTTTAGGTTTATGGATAATCTATAGATTAATTTGGGGAGCCTTGCCATGCTAACAGTTTTGAGTCTTCTAACCCACATAAGTGGAATGTCTCATTTATTTAGGTTTGTAATTTCTCCCAGAAATGCTTTATAGTTCTCAGCATGTAAACTAACACCTCTGTTAACTTTATTCTGAAATGTTGTTCCTTTTGATGTTGTTGTGAATGAAAGTGTTTCCTTAATTTTGTTTTCAGATTTCTGATAGCTAAAACACGGGAATACTGATTTTTTTTTTTTTTAACTGCTTAAATAATCTGCAACCTGGCTGGACTTGCAGTTCAAGTACTGCTGTTTGGATGCTTTAGTATTTTCTTTAGACAGGGCCATGCCATTTGCAAATAAAAAGATTTTACTTCTTTCTTTCCAGTCTAGATTCCTTTTTTTTCTTTGTGTGTGTGAGTATATTACCTGCATGTGTCATGCACTACAGGGCCTACAGAGGTCAGAAGAAGGTATTGAGTACCCTGGAAATGGAGTTACAGACATCTGTTAGCTGCCCTGTGGGTGCTGGGAATCGAACCCAGGTCCTCTGCAGGAGCAGTCAGTGCTCTTCATTGCAGAGCCGTTTCTCCAGCCCCTCTTTCAGATTCTTTGTACATACACATGCATACACTTGGAGCACATTTGGTTTTATCCTTAAATTTTTTATCTTGGAAGTCAACCCATTTGAGAATTAATGCAGAGAGAAAGTTGTTACCTGCCTATCACATCTCCCTCAGTGTCCTTTTGGTACTTGGGTGCTTTGATTTTATAATATAGTCGTCTCGTAGTTTTACATGAGTTGTTTTTGTTGTTTTGTTTTTGAGATGGTGCCTCACTATGTTGCCCAGGCCTGACATGATCTTTTCATGGTCCTGTTGATCCTCTTGCCTTAGCCTGACTAGCTTCTAATTGTTGTTCAATTGTTTCTAATTGTCTAATTGTTGTTGATTTCATTTGTTCTAACCTTTTTTTGCCATAATAGCCCAGGCTAGCCTCAAGCACACTGCAGTCCTCTTCCCTCAGATTCCTAAGTGTTGGGATTATAGATACAAACTACCACATCCAGCCTTTTTCTGACACCTCTGTAATTTAAGAAATGAAGATTTCAGGCCCTTTTCTCAATGAGGAAACTGAGACAAAGAGCTTATGGCTTGAGAGACAACTAGTAAAGAGAAGATCTGACACTGGCTCAGGTCTTAGGACTCCAGGCTTAGAGGCTCCCCTCCCCCATAGATCAAATTGCTACTTTCTGTGTACATAGTGCTCAGCTCCCTGCTAATCATCCTTTTGATTGATTTGGCCCATATTGCTGTTATTTGGGTTGTGCCAGCTATTTGGCTACTCCTAGATGTTCATGATATAGAAATTCTCTTGCTCTCCAATTCTCCAAGACATTGATATGCAAAATGTGAAGAATGACCGTGGCCAAAGCCAGAGACACAACAGCTGCTTAGTGTTTGTTAGTGCAGGATGCACCACTCAGCAAAGGCTTCTTTGTGTCTTGGGATAATATTAGTGTACAGTTGCCCTGACTGGTGATGGCTCTTTCAACCCATAAAACTGAACCTTGCTTTCAGATGTGGAATGTTTTATCCTTTTGTTCAACTGAAAGTGTAAGTGTACTCCACTACACATGGTGCTAGTCAATGACCACATCAACTAGGAAAACAGGACCAACGTGGAGCAGCCTAATTCCCTTACTGTGCTGGTTGGAATTTACTAATCTTACTAATCTTTGACTTTCAAATGTCTGCAGATGAACAGATTGATCATCAGTTCTAAACTTTACAGGTCAACACTGTTAAACTCACCAGTTTGCAAACTTATCTTTCTGAAAGTCAAAATGTTTCCTAACATGCTCCTTTTCTCCAGAATTTTGGTTTAAGATCCCTGGGGGCCTTGGAATCTAGTTTACCATATCTAAAGGAGCAGATAATCTGCTTTGCCTGACTTGAGCGACAGTTCACCTCTACCAAACTTGCTTATATAAAAAGTCAATTAGTATTTATTTAAAATGCAAACGACTAGACCTCTCTCTGAGAGATTGCGGTTCTGGGTTATCTCCCTTCCCTTTGGCACATTTTTATGATGATCAAGTTTAAGAAACACTGTTTTGGGCTAGAGAGATCATTCAGTGCTCAGAAATGCTCACTATGCAGTCATGCCTATCAAAGTTTGGATCCCAGCACTACCTCAACAAGCTGGATGTCCCTCACACACCTGTAATACCGGCTCTGAGGAGGACAGATTCCTGGGACTTCCTGGCTTCCAGCCTAGATGAGGAAATAGGAGCCCTAGGTTTAGGAAGAGGCTCTGCCTCAAAGGAATAGATGGAGAGTGATGGAGGAGGACTCCTGATGTCCTCTTCTGGCTTATATATGTGCACTGTTTATGCCATACTCAGCTCTATTTTGATGAACTTTTTCTTATCCACCAGTGTCAGCTTCCATCCCTGAACTCATACTTCAGTGGTCTGCTTGCTCTGAGTATAGTTAGAAACGCCTTTGGGCTTTCATGTTTTGTAATACTTCAGTCATTGGGCATTTCTCAAGGTGCCCTGCAGCTCTTTGGTGTCTGTCTTTGAATAAAAAGTGCCCTTCTGCTCTAATTGAGGGATGGTGTCAATAGCTCATCACTTTAATTAGCTATTTTATCTACCTCTTCTTTTTCCAAAATTACCGACAGGTGTCAATTGAGAATCTCGTTCTGGAGATGTGTCAGACTAAGGTTTGGCTACCACCTGGGGAAATTCCCAGCACCTTCTATTCCTTAGGGTCTTGTAGTAGCTTTGGGCCCTATCCTACAGCAGCATTCCTCCATCACAAATACATTACCACAGTTACATTGTCCACAGGTTCCTTCAACTACATCTCAACTATGTAATTAGAGAGGACTCTGGGGGCTTGCAGGCTGCCTTGTCCTATGGGTAGCTATGTCTCTGGCTACAGGTCACTCTGACAGGCTCTCCTGTTTTTCCAGGTGGCAGATCATTTGGTTTCTTCAGACTCTGTTTCCTCCACCAGTAGTTTCTTGAGCTTGAATTCTACTCCGTGTAATGAGCAAAGTGTGCACCTGTTGAACAAGAGCATACAAACAGGTAAAATCCTTTGCATGTAAACTTTTTCATTGAGGGGCTGAGAGACGGCTCAGCAGTTAAGAACACTGGTTGCTCTTGCAGAAGGCCCAGGTTCGAATCCCAGCACCCACATGGCAGCTAACAACTGTCCGTAACTCCAGTCCCAGGGGATCTGACAGCGTCTGACCTCTGTGGGCATTGCATGATACTGGTGTGCTTACCTACGTGCAGGCAATGCACGCATACACACACACAAAACTTTTTCATTAAAATAAAAATGTCTCTTAAACATAAAACATATTCAATCTCATGATAAAGGAAATAAAGATCAGAAGTGCTTGCATATCCAGATGCTGTTTTTTCCACCTACAAATTGCAAAAATCCAAGTTTATGAGCAAGAATTTACGGAAATGAGCATTTACATAGTGGGGGTATAAATGACATAGCTCCTATGAGAAGCAATTTGTAGTTCCTAGCAAATGTACTTTGACCCAGCACTTTTGCTTTTGGAATTTGGCCAGTAGATATGCTTGGATATGCATAAAATAGCAGGTGTAGCCTGGCATGGAGACACAGGCCTTGAATCCCAGCACTTGGGAGGCAGAGGCTGACCTGTGAGATCTCTGAGATTGAGGCCAGTCTGGTGTACATAGCAAGTTCCAGGCCAGCTGGGGCCACAGTGAGACCCTGTTTTAAAAACAAAACAAAAAAATTGACAACTATGAAAAGTATTAATTAAAGCCAACTTGGGTGGCCATTAATAACAATGATAAAATGAATTATTGTACTTTCATATGAAGAAGTTCAGTGTAGAATGAAGAAGTTCTCTACTAATATTGAAAAATCTCCAAATCAAAGTTCAGAACAGCACATAACATATGAAAATAATAATAACACATGAAAAATTCCGGAGAATTGTAATATTCTCCGGAATCATGGGTTGTGCACAGAGTGATGTGACTGGAGACTAGGGGTGGGAGGAGGATTTTCAGTTTTTGCCTGGAATTTTATTTTATGCAACAAAATGAATGAATCTCCTTTTCCTTTTTCCCCTCAAGCCTTGGCAACACCTCTATCAACTCTTCCTTATTGATGTTCTTGCCAACAGGTCTGGGTTTACTTGCTCTCTTTCCCCTGGGATCAGAACTGAACCCTTGAGTTCATTCAGTCTCTCTCTTTCTCCCTCTCTCCCCCTCTCCCTCTCTCTCTCTTTCTCCCTCCCTCCCTCCCTCTCTCCCTCTAATAATCAAAAGAAATTTAAAATCATAATACACTGTCCAAAATGTAATAATCAGAAAATGTCTTTAAAATCATAAAACCAATGTTCCCTCAAAGTGAAAAGTAACAACTATTTTAAAAGATCTCTCTCTCTCTCTCTCTCTCTCTCTCTCTCTCTCTCTCTCTCCCTCCCTCTCTCTCCCTCTCCCTCTCTCTCATCTGAGCCCGCTTAGAGACTAAAGCCCTCTTTCTTCTCGTATTCCCTTCTTCCTTTCCTCTTTCTGCATCTTTCCATCTCTTCCATGCCTGCCTTCCCACCCCCAGATGTGTCTGTGATCTTTCCCACAGGTAACTTTGAGATTATGACTGGTACCAAGAAACATACCCGGGATGTTGGGGTGACTTTCCCAACTCCGAGCTCTAGTGAGGCCAGATTAGAAGACAGTGATATGACTTCATGTCCAGAAGAAAAAGTCCAAGAGAAAATGTTCTTTATCAGTTATCTTGGTAACAAAAAGTTACAGAAGGACAAGCCCAAATCCTGTAAAGGTTGGTTTCTTTTTATTTTGAAACTCAGTCTTTTGTTTGTTTGTTTGTTTGTTTGGTCTTTTTGAGACAGAGTGTTGCTATCTGTTCCCCAAATGGCCTGGAACTCACTATGTAGATCAGGCTACCCTTGAACTCACAGAGATTCACCTGCCTCTGCCTCCCAAGTGCTGCACCACCATGCTTGGTTGAAGCTCAGTTTCTATTTTGAGGTAACAGAGAAACTAATGCATTAAGTCTCTTGCAACACTAAAATTTTTTGTCTCTAAATGACTCTGTTAACTCCACCTGCCCCTAGCTACCACATTGGTAGGTTTTGAAAGTAACTAGAACTTCATTTAGAGAGTCCTTCTACAGTTACAACAGACTTAAGGGCACCCTAGGGGGCGTCTACCCCAACAGATGAATCACCTTCTAGTCAGTATTTTTGATAGGAGTTGAATGGGGTTATTAAAAAACAAAGCTTGCTGGGTGTGGTGGCACATGCCTGTAGTCCCAGCACTTGGGAGGCAGAGGCAGGCGGATCTCTGTGAGTTCAAGGCCAGCCTGGTCTACAGAGTTCCAGGACAGATGGGTTACAGAGACACCCTGTCTCAAAAAGACCAAAAACAAACAAACAAAAACCAAAGCTCTTCTTCCTTCTTACAAATATTTTCTGTAGGGGTCTCATGGTTTGTTCCTGTGGAATATGTGAAGTCTGCATCTAAGAAGGAAAACCTGCCCAACGTTTATGTCCCTGGCATCACCTGGTTTGAACCAGTAACCAGAACCAAACCTTGGAGGGAGCCACTGAGGGAACAGAACTGGCAAGGACAGTGCACGGATGGTTGGTGGTCGCTGGGAGGCCCAGGTGGAGATGGTGGCTGTGTCCCACCGAGGCCATTTGTGAGAGCAACCCTGCAGGTATAGTGATACCCTGTTGACTTTAACCATATGTTTATGTGGGGGCATGTGTGGGTGGCATACCAAAGTTTTGTCAGTGTGCAGTCCTCAGGAGAAGGGAGGGCGCTGTGACCCTGCTCAGTGGTGTGCAGGTTCCTGCATGCGAGCTGGCAGAGGCATTTGGTCAGCATTGTGTATGTGACTGTTTAGGTGTCCCCTGTTCCAGTTTAACGCACATTCGAAGGCACAGTCTCTCCGTGTGTGTGGGTGTGTGGGTGTGTGGGTGTGTGTTTGTTCCCACAGATCCTCCCAATCTGGGGGCAGGTGCTGTTTTCTGGGCACCTGGAGTGTAGACTCTGTTGTTAATGTGAACTAGGGGCTTTTTCTCTTCCTTAGGAAGCTCTTCAGCTTCACAGGCCTGACTTCATCTCCCGCTCTGGGGAGCGGATAAAGCGCCTAAAGTTAACAGTCCAGGAGAGGAAGCTGCAGAACATGTTCCAGAGTGAGCGGGATGTTCTGTTCAATGTACACCCCCTGCGTAGGAGAGGTATGCTGTCAGATCACCTTCCTATGAGTGGATGCTGCTGTGCTGGAGAGCACTGCTGGATACCAGGCCAGAGTGGTCGTGCCTGGATATGGTTTGCTTGCTGAGACTCAGATCTCCTTAGCTAGTAATCTGGCCCAATATACCTAGTTCTCTGCACATATGAGATGTAAGTAAGCCTAGTTCCCTAACCCTGTCACTGCATCTTCAGGAGAAGCTTCAGTAAGAATGAGTCTAAACCAGCTCTGCATTTGTGAGCAAGCTGGTTTCAGAAATGTGATATAGTAATAGTGATAAACATGGAGTCCCAAGGCCTGGCCCAGACATTCACAAAATCTCAGGAAGGTGCTGCTAATACATTTTATTCACAGGGAGATTAAATATCTGGTCCAAAGTCACATACCTTCTTAGAGCCAGGATTTGGGGCTGGTTCCCTGTCTGTTTGCTTAGCAGTTGCACTAAGCATAACAGCTCAATAAAATAGCACAGAAAAGCTTTGAAAACTATAAAGTGCTACCAAAAACTGTCATCACAGCCTCACCTATAAACTGGTCAGTAGTTCATTTCACACTGTGGTCTGTGCCACAGCAGTTTTAAGCTGTTGTCACAGTCCACCTTGTACAGTCCTGACTTTGACCTTGGTCATTGTACATTGCTCACTACCCAGTACTCAGGCTAGGAGCACAAGGTCCAGCAGCTCCCTTGCACAGCTGTGTGGTACAACACCTTTCCTTACTAAGTTACTATCCACTAATAAAGCACTTTTCTTGTCTAGTCTTCCTGGCTCCCCAGAACAAGCCTATTGGAAAGAAGGAAATGATTCAGAGGTCCAAACGGTAAGACCAAAAGAATAAGAGTAATTACAAAACTGTCTCAAAACAAAAACCCAAAAACAAAATCGCAAATTTCCAAAGTATGTGTAGTTTCAGGCCACTGCTGTCACTTGTGGGCTTTAAAAATAAATTCTTTTGCCTTTATGATTGTATATGCTTTTATATGCATAGAATATTTCTTGTTACAAAAAATGATAATAGTGATTGTCTTTAGTTGATAAGAATTGTGTGGGTGTAGGGATTAGGAGAGAGACCAGACTTTCATCACAGACTTTGACTTTGGCTCTTGTGTTCCTGCAAACATTATCTATTCACTAATGAATTAGTTTGATATATGCATATATTGATCATGAGGAAGCTGTGGAAAACTAAGTTAAGGGCTATTTTTTAGGGTCTTCTTGGAAACTGACTTTAGTAAGAAAGTCTTGTAGTCAGGATGGCACTCCTGAAGTATGGGTTGTTCCTGTTGCTAGTTTGGTTGGTTTTTTTGAGACAGGGTCTCACTATGTAACCCTGGCTGGCCTGGAAATTGCTATGTAGATCAGGCTGGCCTTGAATTCACAGAGATCTACTAGCCTCCCAAGTGCTGCAATTAAAGGTGTATATCACCATACCTAGCAGGAATGGTTCTGTGTGTATGTCTCTCTGTGTGTGCGTGCGTGCGTGTGTGTGTGTGTATTGACTCCTGGGCTTCACATCTGCTAGGCAAGTACTGTACCATTGAACAACCCCCCTAGCCCAGTGATTCTTGAAAAGAAGCTTATCTCATGAAGGTGAAGCATCCCCCTTGAGCTCTTGTTCTTGCTGTCCTTGAGTAAACCTTTAAAGGTCAATTGGGAGGATTCTTTTTTTTTTTTTTTGGGGGGTTTAGAAAATAACATTTGTTGGAATCTTGAACATTTTGGATAAAAATGACAAAAAATATGGACACATTTCAGGTTGGGATGATATGAGGAGTGATAACTTACAGAATTAACAGTTATCACTGTTATACAGGGGGAAGTTATACAGGGTTCAATTTACGACAGCTAATTGTATTATCACCTCAGCAAAAATAATCCTTGTTGCAAGAGACTGTGAAGTTTTTCCTATAGGAAGACAGGCCACAGTATCCTCTGCAAAACTGATACTTCCAATACAAATACACATGTACGCGTTGACTAGCTTCCCGTCTTCTATAGATTTCCCACTTTATTCATTTTTGTTTGACTTTTGTTCACTTTTTTTCTCAACTGGTTCCTTTTCAAGGAAGTGACTTTCTATTTGAGGATCATAGAGTTGAAAGGTAGAGAGGGAGCATTAGCTCCCTATACTCCTGTCCTGACAAAGACTAGGGTCTCTGCCCCCTACGTCCCTCATCATTCTCCCTCATCATCAAGCTCTGCTGGAGGCATGCAGAATTCTCGGTGAAGAGAAATGCTTAGGGGAGGAGAGCTTCACTCTTCTGTGTAGTGTTTGTTCCCTTGTCCTTAAGGAGAGGCCTCTGTCTTCCCTGCACAGTTTCTCACAGGGCCTCTGCTTTATTTTCAGTGACTTTTGTTTTTTAGATCGTAGAAATGTTTGGAAAACACAGAGAAAAGTAGAAAGAATAAAATAAATATTGCTCATAATTCTTCCTTCTAAATACACTAACCCTGGTCTTGTTTCTAGATGGAGTAGGGATTTTCAGAGATCTGTTGAGCACATTTTTCTAAATGATCAACTGTATGTTAGATTTGTATACTGCTGTATCTCACTTAGTATTATATTATTATATTATGAACATTTATGACATGCCATTAAACATTGTTTGAAATATGTTATGCTTATAATAATTCCATTATATTCTGTAATCTGTTTTTTGTTGATAATTTAGACTATTTGTAATCAGCTTAATTTTCAAACACATTTGATCATGCTCCTTTCAACTTCAAGTCAGTGGCTTCTAACCCTGGATAGGACAGAGCCTAGTTTTCCAAATGACTTCAAGACCCTCTGCAGCCCAACCTCACCCTCACCTCACCTGCTTCCACGATCCCCTGCACCACTGCTTCTGCAGACCTGACCCATTACAGTGCTACCAGCTGGGGACCAGCTCTTCAAACATACACGCCACAAGTGACATTTCACATTCAAACCACAACATCCAACAGAGAATTAATGTCTAGAACCTATAAAGAACTCCAAAAAACTAAAAACATCAAAAGAATCGACCAATCAATAAATGGCCTAATGAACTGAATAGACAGTTCTCAAATAAATATAAATGACCAATAAATATTTGAAAAACTGTTAAATATCTTTAGCCATCATGGCTAAATGATTTGATTTGAAATGTAAATCAAAATGCCTTTGCCATCTCACACCAGTCAGAATGGCTGTCATTAAGAAAACAAATGAGAGCAAATGCTGGTGAGGATGTGGGGAAAATGAAACTCTGTATACTGTTATAAGGAGTATAAACTGCTACAGCCACTATGGAATCAATATGGAGATTTCTGAAAGCATTAAAAACAACTACCACATGACCCAGCTGGCCCACTCTTGGGTATATGCCTGAAGGACTCTTAAGTTAACATATCACAGAGAGACTTGCACATCTACAGTTACTGCAACACCAGTCACAATAGCCAAGTATTCAGCCTAGGTATCTATCAACAGGTAAATGGATAAAGAAAATGTGGTACATATACACAAATTTTATTCAGTTGTAAAGAAGACTGAAATGATATTTGCAGGAAATTGGATGGAATTAGAGTTCATTGCTTTAAGCAAATAAGCTGGGCTTGGAAAGACTTTTTCTTTCATCAGTGGAATATATATAAAGTAAAAAGGGAGCCATGGTGTAGGAGGGGTTTGGGGGGAAATAAGAGAGATTAAGGAGTGTATGTGTCATGAAAAAAGAAGGGGGAGGATTTTTTAGAGAAAAGGGACCAGCAAGTGTGTGGGGGAGGATGGGGGAGGGCAATGGGGGGGCAGATAAGAAAAAAATATATGTGTGAAACTGTCACATTTAAGTCTGTTTCTTTGCATGCTAGCCGAAAAATTAAAGAATACGGTAATAAGCTGGATATAGTGGTGCATACCTATATAATCCCAGTATTTGGGAGGCTGAGGCTAGAGTACATAGTGAGTTCCAGACTAGCATGGGCTACAATCAGTATATCCTGATACATACATATATAGGAGTATATGTGCACTTGTGTGTGGTACACAACAGTAATGCCTGTTCGTTATATTCAACATTAGAGTTTTACATATGGAGTAAACACCAAATTCACTCCCACTCCCTTTACCCCACTCTTCCCCAGAACAAGCATTATTAGCAAGGTTTTGCGTCATTTGTCTCTCTTCAGGATTGTGAGCACCTCAAGCCAGGTTCTCTGTATTCATATGTCTAACAGGACACTAGATGCACACAGGGCTTGGCTCCGCCTAGAAGCTCCACCTAGACAGTGTAGTGCCTAGGGGTATGGGGAGAGTAATCGAGTCCCTTCGTGCCCAGTAACCCTCTGCTTTCTGTCTTTTCACTGGTGCCATTTCTAAGGATTTATGAGCAGCTTCCAGAGGTAAAGAAGAAGAGAGAAGAGGAGAAGAGGAAATCAGAGTATAAATCCTACCGGCTACGAGCTCAGCACTATAAAATGGTCAGTTGAGTTGATACTCTTGTCTATACCCGGTGGATAGGGTGCATGGGCAGACAGAGAAATGGAGAGAAACAGTCTGACTAACCACATTTGAGAAGTGGAGTGAGTGTGTACTGACATTTCAAACATTAGGCAGCTGTGATTAGGCTTCAAATCAGGTCCAGCTCCTTAGCTGGAAATGCCCAAGTTGTCTTCCCTGCACTTGCAAGGAAACCAAATTTCACACATAGGTGATTAGCAACCATGGTAGAAACATAAATATCAGTATTGTAAGTCTCAAATGGTGATTTTAGTTCCCTCATGGAAAGTCAGATGCCTCTAGAACTATTTAAATAAACAAGATGGTGTCTGTGTAGCCAGGGAGTTTCTGCATGGGAGTGAGAGGCCAGACAGTGTAGTCTGTGGTTCTTGCAAATCCAAGAACCTCGCAGAGGCTTGAAGGGCAGCATCCTTCACAGTTCTTGTTTCCCACTGTTTCAGTTTGCTTTTTTTTTGCTATAATAAAAGAATCTGATCAACCCAGCTTGGGAGCAAAGGTTTTATTTCATCTTACTCTTCCAAGTGACAGTCCATCATCACTTAGGGAATTCAGTGCAGAAACTCAGGGTAGGAACCAGGAGGTAGGAACTGAAGCAGAGACCATGGAGGAACACTGCCTACTGACTTGCTTTCCCTGGCTTGCTCAGTTACTTTTGTTATACAACCCAGGCATATCCGCCCGGGCCTGGCACAGCCCACAGTGGACTGGACCCTCCTGCACCAATTAACAATTAAGAAAATGCCTCAGAGATATGGCCATAGTCTACTGTGATTGAGACAATTCCTCAACTGAGGTTTCCTTTTCCCAGGTATCTCTAGTTTGTGTCATGTTGACAAAAACTAACCAGCATACCCTTCAGGTCTCTTCACTACACCTCAGAGGACTCTGAGAGTCAGAAGCCAAAGACAAGATCAGACTGGTGTGGGTTGGTGTACTGTCTCTGGAATGCCCAGAAACCTGAGTGTTGGGGTTGGGGAGAGACCCCAAACTCTGAATGCCTACCCCCTGCTGTGTTAGCATCACACACCAACCCTCACTGTGCTAGCGTGCTGGGTTAGTCAGTCTGTCAACATTCTAGATTTTCTATAAATAACAGGTACTGCTTACAGATCATCTTTCCTCAACATTTCAGGAAATACTTTCTTCCTAATTGCCATAGTGTCTGTAGTTAAGTAATATAAACAAGATGTAGGGAGAGCCACCTGGGGTTTCTTCTGTAACACGACTGGGGTAAAGACACCAACTGCTTCTGATGGTAATGCACCTGACTTTCTTTTCTGTATTTCTTTTCTTCCACAGAAAGTGACCAATCAACTCCTTGGGAGGAAAGTTCCCTGGGACTGACAAGATTATTTTCCTCAGAGTTTTGTAATTATTTTTTTTGTGCGCCTGAAGAAGCCTAGTCCTTACTTTAATGGATATGACTTAACAAAACTTCCTCTTTGTTCATTAGTAACTTTGGGGTCTGGGGCAGTGATTCGAGTGGCTGATGGTTTGGAAGCAGTCCTTTCTCCATCAAGCCTTTGAGCATAGGGTCGGTCCTTACAATGGGACTCTCTTAATTCTAGCCAAGAGGGAGTTCATTTTTGTACGCGTTTTTATAGTTTTAGAAAATAAATTGCTTTTGATCGACTCATACTAAAGCAAGCAGAAGCAGGTTATTTCTTTCCCATCTGGAGAAGAACCTAGAGCTGGGCAGTCTACCCTGATGTGTCAAAACTCATTGGAGGGAAATGGGCTGTAGAATGAAATGTGGCCTATCTCCTTAAAGAACAGAATGACATGACTGAGAGCCTTGGCATGGGCTTGGAGTATCTGGTCCATTTGCACTGGAGTGAGAGACTTCCAACACACACAGGCAGGCACAAGAGTCCCTTAACCTCTCTGCAGCTGTCCAGGGATTGGTTTTGGAGCCTAGGAGAAAGGCTACCAGCCTTCTTTAGTGGGTCTTCCTCTATTTACCTGTTTGCTAGATTAAAGTCTCAAACCATTCACCATCTCATATGAACCAATATTTATAACTTAGAGAATGACTTCTGGAAAACATACATTGATAAATGAGGTAATACCCGCACCACATTCATCTAGCACCTGGTCAGGGACAGTGGGGTTTCCTCCCTTGTGGCCTGGAATCACAACTAAGGCCCGAAACTGAGGAAAGAAGGTGCAGTAAGTACAGCAGACCCAGCCAGACCAGGGACTGCCCCAGCAGGCTTCTTGGAGGCAGCATAAGTGTGGACCTGCAGTCAAGTTGTGCAGTCCAGACTTGTGTCTGAACCCAGAAAGATGCCGAGTAGATGCACAGAAAAATGTCTTTCTTCAGACTGGAAAGATGGCTCAGTGCTTAAGACATGTTCTGTTTTTGCAGAAAACTACCGTTTAGTTCCTAGTACTACACCAGACAGCTCACAACAGCCTGTAACTCCAGCCCCAAAAGATCTGACAACTTTTTCTAGACTCCACTGGTGCCTGTGCTCTTATGCACACACCCACACACAGACATACACAAAATATCTTTTCCTTAATATCTTTAATAGTTTTTAATGAAATTTTTGTGATTTTCATACAGTATAATTTGATATTTAGATCCCCTCTCCTATCCCCACCTCCCATTATTGCCCCCCCCACTTAATGTTTCATATATATAATAAGGCCTGTAGTGTCTAATTTATATATAATACGGCCTGTAGTGTCTAATTTCTATCCTCGATGTCCTTCACTGTGGGTCTGTCCAGTAGAGCCTGGTTAACGTACCAAGAGTGCCATACTTGAAAGAGATTCTCTGCCTTTCCCAGCACCATCTGTTGATGCAGTTTCTTTAGGTGGGATTGGAGCATCTTACTGACTTCCTCATGTCTGTGTGGGATTTTCTTCTGGTTTGAGCTTGCATTGAACTTGTGTATGCAGACCCCATTGCTGTGAGTTCATATGAGTAACGCTGTCTGGAAAACTCTTGTTCCCTGTTCCACCACTCTGGCTCTTATCTTTGCACCCCTTCTTCTGCAGTGGTCCCTGAGCCTTGGGGGTGCAGGGGCAGAAGTGTGATACAGATGTCCTGTTCAGGGATAAGGGCTCTGCAGCCTCTTGTTCTCTGCATGTTGGTCAATTGTAGGTTTCTGTGTTAATCGCTGTATGTTGCATAAGGAAACTTCTCTTGTGAGAGTTGAGTGATCCATCAATCTATGGGTATAACAGTGTCATTAAGAGTCAGTTTAATACGATGACTATTTAGTGGAAAACTAGTATTAGGTTCTCCCTTGTCCTGTGACCTGTTTAACCTCAGATTCCTGAGCCTGATATAAGTGTTAGGTATGGACTCCGTCCTAGGAGAAGGACTTTAAATCCAATTAAAGAATGATTGGTTACTCCCATAATACTTGTACCACTGTTGCACCAGTGAACATATCTTTCCAGGCCATTTGTTATTGTGGTTTACAGGATTCACAGCTGGGTAAGGTTGATGATCTTTTTTATTTTTTTCCTCTGGTAGCTTGTATATAGCACCTTCTAGCACTGTGAACACTAGCCAGTAGATGAGGCTCTGAAGTCAGCACCAGCTTGATTTCTCTTTGTTCTACAGGTCATGTATGTAGTGTCTTCAGCAGTAGTGCCTTACCATTCAGTTCTGGTGGGAAACCAAGAGCAGGGGCAATGGACAATATTGTTTGAGGTTCTATGGGACCCCTGGTCAACAGCTTCTAGAGAGGGAATCAATTCCTGGCATTAAAGTTTTCTGTTGTGTTTTTCTTTGTTGTTGTTGTTGTTTTAAATTAGCTTATGATATGTAGAAAGGGTAATGTCCCCTGTTATGGGATAATTCCATTTACTATCTTTTCATCATGTGTGTGTATATACTTTAAGAAGCTTCTGTAACTGGATGTGGTGGAAGCAGAGGCAGATGGATCTGTGACATTGAGGCTAACTTAGTCTACATGGTGAGTTTCAAGCCTCTAGGCCTGCTGGGGCTACAGGGAGGTCCTGTCTCGAAAAGACCAAAAAAAAAAAAAAAAAAAAAAAATTGAAAAACAAACAAAAAAAACCCAACATTTCTTAAGTGGTAGGTTTCCATGTTACTATCCCTCCCTGTACTCCCTCCTCTTCCCTGCCCTCCCATTCCCCACCCCCATTTAAGCCTTCCTAGTCAAATGTTTCCCTTTTTCCCTTCCTGTCATTGCATTCTGCCACCCCTCCCAGGAAGTCTACCCCCATCCATCCACCCACCCACCCATGGCTATCTGTTAGTTTCTTGATCTCTCTGAATTTTCAAATTGAAACATGTTTATCTAAGATTTCAAAGCTAGCATTCAGCTTATGAGATAGCTCAGCTATGAGATAGAATGTGTGGCATTTGTCTTTCTGAGTCTGGCTACCTTGATTGGGACGATTGTTTCCAGTTCCATCCATTTACCTTCAAATTTCATTATTTCAGTTTTTAAGAGCTGAATAATATTCCATTGTGTATATGTACCACACCTTCATTATCCATTCATCAGTTGATGGACATTTAGGTTTTTTTCAATTTCTAGCTATTATGAAAAGGACAGTAATGAACATGGATGAAGAAATCTTTCTGTAGTGGGGTATAGACTCTTTGGAGTATATGCCCAAGTGTGGTATGACTCTATGATCAATAGGGTAGATCAATTTCAAGCTTTTTGTGGAGTTCCCACACTGATTTCCATAGTGGCTGCACAGGTTTGCATTCCCACCAACAGTGGGTAAGAGTTTCCCTTTCCCCACGTTCTTGCTAGCATTTGTTCTTTGTTTTGTTTTGTTTTGTTTGTTTGTTTGATTTTTGTTTTTTTTTTGATATTTGCCATTCTGAGAGTAAGATGAAATCTTAAAGTGGTTTTAATCTGAATTTGCCTGATGACTAAAGGTGTTGAACATTTTAAAAATTATTTCTCAGCCATTTGTGTTTCATCTTTAGAGAACTTTCTGTTCAGATCCTTGTCCCACTTTTTAATTGGGTTTGTATTTTAGATGTTTAGTTTTTTTGAGTTCTTTGTATATTCTAGATACTAATCCTCTGTCAGATGTTAGCTGGTAAAGATTTTTTTCCCATTCTATAGGTTGCCTCTTCACTCGAATGATGGTGTTTTTTAGTTTCATGTGGTCCCATTTGTGCTTGTGCTATAAGGAGTCCTGTTCTGAAAGTCCTTTCTTGTGCCTGTATGTTCCAGGGTATCCCTTACATTCTCCTTTATCTGAATCAGGGTATTGGTTCTTATGTTGAGAACCTTGATCCATTTGGAGTTTAGTTTTGTGCGTGGTGGGAGATAGGAATCTAGTTTCATTCTTCTACCTGCCCTTACCAAGTTTGACCAGCACTATTTGTGGAACATGCTGTCTTTTCTCCAGTGTGTATTTGTTGTTCCTTTGTCAAAAATCAGGTGGTTGAAATTGTGTGGATTTAAATCTAGGTCTTCAGTTCTGTTCCACTGATTAATGTGTCTGTTTTTATGCCAGTACCATGCTGTTTTTATTGCTGTAGCTCTGTATTATAATTTGAGATCAGGGATGGTAATGCCTCCAGCAGTTCTTTTTTTGCTTAGGCTATTCTTTTATTGGCTATTCTGGGCTTTTTATGTTTCCATATTTGTTGGGGGTTTGTTGTTGTTTTTATGTGTATGACTGTATTGCCTACATGTGAGTGCACCCGTGTCGTGCAATGCTGCGGAGATCAGAAGAGGACTTTGGAGTCTCCTGGAACAGGAGTTAAGGACGGTTCTTAGCCGCTATGTGGGTGCTGGGAATCGAACCCGGGTCCTCTGCAAGAGCAGTCAGTGCTCTTAACCACTGACCCATCTCTCCAGCCCCTGTTGTTGGGTTTTTGGTTGGCTTGATATTAGAGTGATATTGGCTTCATTGAAGGAATTTGGGAGTGTTTTTTTATTTTCTGTTTTATGGAATAATTTGAGGAATATTGGTATTAGTTCTTCTTTGAAGGTTTGGTAGAATTCTGCACTGTATCCACCTACTCCTGTGCTCTTTTTAGTTGGGATATTTTTAATTACTCTATCTAGATCATTGGTTGTTATGAGTCTGTTTAGATTATTTATGTCATTCTGATTTAATTTTGGTAGGCCATACATGTGTAGAAAGTTACCATTTTAAAGCACGTCCTTATCGTTTTCTGGATTTCCTTTGGGTCTCTTACAATGTTTCCATTCGTGTCTGAGTTTGTTTATTTGGGTAAAGGTTGGTTAATCTTGTTAATCTTTTCAAAGAATCAACTTTTTGTTTCATTGGTTCCTTGTATAGTTTTCTTCATTTCTGTTTCATTGACTTCAAACTTGGTTTTATTTATCTTTCCCACTACTCTTTTTTTTTTTTTTTTTTTTTTTGGTCTTTTTGAGACAGGGTCTTCTTGTAGCCCCAGCTGTCCTGGAACTCATTATGTAGACCAGGCTGGCCTCGAACTCACAAAGATCTGCCTGCCTCTGCCTCCCAAGTGCTGGGATTAACGCTGTGTGCCACCACACCTGGCTTGCCCTCTACTCTTTTTAGGTGTTGTTTGTTCTTAGATTTCCAAGGCTTTCATGTGCATCATTAATTTATTTATATGAGCTGTTTCTAATTTTCTGGTGCGAGCACTTAGTGCTATAAATTTTCCTCTTAGGATTGCCTTCACTATGTCTCAAAGGTTTTGATATGTTGTGTTTACATTTTCATCCAATTCTAGGAAATTTCTTATTTCCTTCTTTATTTCTCCATGATCCAATTTTCATTCAGTAATGTGCTGTTTAGCGTCCCTGAATTAGCTTTGCCATCTTTGGTTGTTGTTATCTAACTTTATTCTTTTGTGGATACAAGATATTTCAATTTTTGTAAGTTTGTGGAGACTTGTTTTGTGTCTTAATATGTGCTTGATTTAGGAAGTTCTGTGAGCTACTGAGAAGAAAATGTATTCCTTGGTGTTTGGATGGAATGTTCTGTAGTTGTCTGTAATGTCCATTGATTTATGGTGTCATTTAACTCCAGGGTTTCTCTGTTTAGTTTTTGTTTCGTTGACCTGTCTACTGGTGACAGCAGGGTATTGAAGTCACCTACTATCACTGGATTGGAGTCAATGTGAGATTTTAGCCTAATAAAGTTGTTCTTTTTTTAGTGAAATTGGATGCCCCTATATGAGGTGCATATATGTTTAAAATTGTAATTTTTTAAAATGTTTTTATTTTTAAAATGTTTTATTTATTATTTTAATGTGTATGTGTATATTGCCTGTGTGTAGGTAAGTGCACCACTGCATGCCTGCAGAGGACAGAACAGGCTGTTGGATCCCCTGGAACTACACTTACGGACAGTTGTTAGCTGCCATGTGGGTGCTGGGATTCGAATCCAGGTCTTCTGCAAGAACAACCAGTGTTCTTAACCACTGAGCCATCCCTCCAGCCCCTGCAATTTCTTCTTGGTAGATTTTTTTCCTTTAACAAGTATGAAGTGATCTTCCTTGTCTCTTCTGACTAGTTTCAGTTTGAAGTCTATTTTGTCAAATATTAGAATAGCTAGCTACGTCTGCTTGTTTCTTGGCTCTATTTGATTAGAATATCTTTTTCCATCTTTTTACTCTGAGGTGGTGTTGATCATTGTTGGTGAGGTGTTTCTTAGAGGC